TCAAAATATGTTCATGTTATTTACCTAATTAATTGTAATTTATTTTTAAGAGATGTGTACTAAATATGACGTTAAATAAAAAAAAAAATATGACAAAAGTCTACGAATTTTTTCAATGACTCTCGTACATTTAATTTCACTTCAATCTTTGTTTACTGTATATCTTTTAAACATGATTCACTGAGATGTGCTTCAGTATTTTGCAAAGTGTCCAACCTCAGATCAATTATGTGATGAACGAATTATTATAATTATAGATTATAATTCGTGTAATATTTCTTTGAATGAGGGGTTGAAATATATACTGTAAATTACTTTTTATTCGCGAGAACTTTATTTTCGTGTAAAAAGTATTATATTTACTATTTTAAACAAAATACAAAACCAGATGAATTTTTATAAGGAAAGACAAAATGGTAAAAATCAGCCCTTGTGATTTTTCTGATTTTCACCATTTTCATTTAACTCATTAAATCACCTGGCTTGGTAAATTTTCTTTAAACTTAATATTGCATTTTTAGCACCAAGCTAACATATTCTAAAATTTATTTCATCGGTAAAGTTTTACTCATTGTGATTTGTCCATACAGCTCAACGCACTTTTGAAACTCACATGGCTTTTCGTACAAATAAAGGTAACATTTTTCTTGCAATAAAACTTAAATTCAGTACGAGTCATAAGCGTTAATATATTATTGAACATTTCATGTTAAGAACATATGCAAGGCACCTTACCTACTGATAATTTTTAAGATATTCTAAATTTAAAATTATAGTACCATTACATGTTCTTAGACAAAAATTCAGCATGCATTACCAGGGGTTTGGAACAGGTATCAAATTGTGAAAATTTTATAATAATTCAAAGAAAAATATACAAAAATAATGAAAATTTCTTAGAAGAGGTGTACAAACCCATAAATAGATTTTTTAAGTATTGCACACAGGTCCTTCATTTAGTGGAACTCTTCAATTCCAGGGAGGAGCCCAATAAAATTCAAACTACGTTGCGTATGACCTTAAAGGTGCATATTCTCTTAAATTATAATCTTATGTTTTAGAACTCGATGTTTTAAAAGGGAATTTGTTTATAAATAGAATGATATTACATGTGTATGATTCTACCATGTGTATTCACAAGCTAATTAATCGACCTTTCTTTGACACTATTTAATTGAAATGTACGAATTGACTTCTTATAGAAGAGTAGTTTTCTAAGTACTTTAAAGATGTTTCATTCTTGTTTTGGTTTTCTCGAAAAATGTAACTCCGAAATATGACAGAACTGCATTAACAAATCATATCAAAGGATAGGATAATAAAAAATTGTTTATCTTTCAAAATAATAAATTGTTACTATTGAAAAGAAAAATCTTTTACATTTATGGTCTGAAACTTTCAAATTTTGCGTTGGAAGGTATCTTTCACGATGCTAGATTTCAGAGAGTAAACCTGAAAAAATGAAATCTTTTTAACATGAAGCAGTAAAACAGATGAGAAATACTTCTATCATCTTGCGCCTTATCGTCATATTATTGTACAGAAAATGCAGAAGTAACATGAACTGCACTGATTCTCTATTTAGGCAATGCAAAGGTATGCTTTAAAATGAACGGATAAAAAGACGACAGTATTTAACAAGAAACTACTAGTATATCATCCTAGAGCATAAAAAATCCTTCCAATTATTATGCGTAAATAATGTTCAATGTTATGGAATAAGATCAAAATTATGTTATAAATCACTTACAAAATACATATTGTTGTCACGTTAGACAATTTTACATTATAACAATATGACTTTAATTTGTGCGAAGAACCATATTTAGTTTCAAAAGTGTGTTGTAATCTGTATTTGTAATTTAATTGAAATATTAACTAATAGTTTCCAAGTGTCATTATATATTTTAATGCAGAAAATACAACAGGTTATAGGGTAAATGTAATATCAGTTCACTTTGTGCTCCTTATGAAACATTTTTAAAGAAATTAAAAGGAGAGTAAATGAATAAATATTAAATAATTTTCCCATGATGATTACTCTATACTGTAAAACGAAAAAAATTGGCGCATACGTATTTAAGCGCAAACACAAGTGGGAATGCATTGGCGCAAATAAATTTTAGCGCTTGCACATGTCAGTAAAATATATAAATGTGATATTTTGGGTTTTTTTTATCCACACCTGTATTTGACTTTTTGGTTAGTCAAGCACGGAAACAAATTATTACTCCCGTATATATCAGTAAACATTCGTTAGTTAACTTTACTGCGGTACGTGTTGCTATCACATGGACGTGGCACAATATTAAAATTTATTTTATTTCTATTTTCAATTAAAAGAAATGGAGTATTTACTCATTTAAATCATATTAAAACAATGCATGCATCGACAGAAAATTACTTCGATAAAACGGTAATCCTAATCAGGTATTGTCTGCAAGCTCAATCGCCATGCTTGATTACCGTCTTCCTTGGAAGACGGTATTGTATAGTTGAAGTTTTTTACAGTCTTCGGACTATGCACTTCCTCTCTTTCGTGATTGGTGGAAATTGCATGATGAGAAAATTTTCAATTATTTCATTGGTTGAAATGCTGTGCATGGCAAGGGAGATAACTTTCTGATGATCTATTTTTCATACGACTTAACAATTTTTCAAGATTTCCAATCTTAAAAAAATGACAAAACGAACAACAAAATCAGCAGTAATTATTTCTGAATAACATGATATTTTTTATAGCAATAAATAAAAAGGTCTCTTTAATTTCATTATAAATAAAATTTGATAGTTATTGCTTGCAGGCTTTACAATTTGTAATTATTCTTTTCCTCTTTCTTGTTTGAAGAGTGCATGAATGGGAATCAGCCGAGGTTTGTCGAAAGCTCTCGGCCAGTCAAAGTTTACGGAGATGACAGAGCGACAACCATGGTAGGGCTAATGCCCGTAAAAAGCTAATTTAGACATACTAAATCAAGAAATTCAAAAGAATTATACGGCCTGTTAAGTGTAGATCTGTTTACTGTTTAAAATTGTTGCTAAAGACGGTAAGCTTTTTTGAAAAGCTCTACTTGTTGCATTGTTTACCTCGAGGCGACAGATGATTGACACGCCGAGAAGCAAAACTTTGAAGGTGCTAATGATAATAATCGGGTAACAGCTACCAGGATAACAATAGTTAAATTAAATTATAATTTGGCAGAACTTTCTGTCTTCCGAACATGTGCAGTGCTCATGGTGCTAGTGTGTATATAAAATCCAGTGACCCTTCGACATTACGTAATCGCGCGTTCCGGTTTACATGTACTTATGTAAAAGCTTTGAATACACAAAAAATGATAGTAAGAAATCCTTTAGCGCACAATAAATTTTAGCGCTCAGGGGCTCTTGCGCCAAAGGCGCTAAAATTAGTAGTGGGCCAAATATTCTCGTTTTACAGTATTTGTATTTATATTTGGAAATATGGAAGGTATTCCATTCTCCAAGTATAAAGAGAAGAAACTGTAAAGAATTTTTCACCTTTCTAAACCTATGACATGTAATTAAGTCTCCTCCAAAGGCAAATAAAAGTTGTTTTTTCATCTGGTCTTGGAAGCATTGCTTTGTACAGACTGATGCACATATAAAACTCAAAAGGAGTGTTAAATGTGTTTTCCTCTGAGCGAAATAAATCTACATTATTGTAAGAACAATGGGAATGTTAGGAAACCCTCACTATTTTAAGCTTTGAAGTTTGAAATTTAATTTTACTAAGTAAAAGAAAAAGTAAATTCGAAGAAACATTCAAAATTGCGTCATGTAATTGACGTATGTAAATATGAAATAAATGTTGTCATATCGGTAGAATCTCTGCGCTTTTGAGAAATCAAATATCATTTACTGTAAAAAAAATGTATTAATGAAAAAACCGATGCACGCATTTGACATTTTATTTTTCAAATCTTGGTAAAACCCAAAGTTCAAACTAAAGCGTTCAAAATTTTTAAGGTTAATGTTTTATTTCAAATAAGGTCACACTTCCAGGTCATATGGAATACATAAAGGAAATAAGAAAACCTGGCACCTACAGTTCACAAGTTCTTACCAAAGTTGAAATGCATCGAAAGTATAGATCAAACTCAAAATTCATGATCAAATGTGTAGGTACCTAAAGAATAGCCTTGTTATAATGAAAACACCATTTAAAGAGAATTCGCCCGTAATATCTAAGGACCCCCATATAAAGCTGCTGACTAAACCACCTTTCAATGTAATACATTTAAATCGTCAATGGTGTAGACGGACGTATGCTATACGGCACTCGGTAGCTAGCGACAAAATTATGAATGTAGTACACGGTACTCTTTTAAACAAGACAATGTGTCTTGTTAAAACTACCAATGTAGGTGTTAAGTAAACTGTTAGTAAATTGCATAGTAAAGTTTATCGATAATCAACATACATATAAAACACTTCCATGGAAAAAGCTAAGTTGTATATCTTGTATAAAAATATAGTAAATATGATAACAAAATACATGATAGTATATAATAATATTTTATAAAATCAGAATGTAAATTCACAATAAAAAATCTGTATCAAAATTACTTGCCTTTAATGACACATGAACCTTGATCTCGATAAATAAAAATAATTGGCAGTTTACTCCATGCTTTCCATTTTTAGCGTTCGTTTGCGTTAGCATTTGGCCGAGATTGCAAAGAGAAAATGTAAAGAGAAAACTAAAACAAAAGATGATTGATTGTATATTGTTTAACGTCCCACTCGAGAATTTTTCACACAAATGGAGATGCCACCACTTGTCGGTGGAGAGCTGCAAATTCTTGTCCTATACTCGGCACTCAGGGCTATTGAGCAGGGAGGGATCTTTTTTCTTGCCCGTACCCACTGCGATACGGGACCTCAGTTTATGCGGTTGCATCCGAAGAACCGGTCTCCATGTCCCACAGCTAGATTTGAATCTGCGGCGTACTTTGCGACTCTAGAGTAGACACTTTCACCACTGCGCCATGCGGGCGACTACTAAAGCAAATGAAGTTATGTTTCAAAACGATTTGTCATAAGTGTATAATTTGAACTTCTATCAAATTACTTAAATAGTGATGAAATGTTACAATGCCTTTGAAGATCAGCGTTTGTGTTAATTACACAGTTGTGCTGATAGGTATTTTCTGATGACTGAAATGAGTCCTTGGTGGTGAGAACAGTTCTCCAACATAACCAGTGTTCTCCCATTTATCATGTTCATCCATTCCGACGTGTTGGTCACTGGACAGCACTGTTTTTCTATGGTTTTCATGAAAAGGTCTAAATATTGGACTCATTATCACACCATCGGAGACATCTTCTGGGGTAACTATTAACAAACGAATACATAAATCATAATAGAATGTAAAATCCTGTATTTATAATCTATAAATTTAATATTTTATCATAACATTTTCGTTAAAAATAATTATAATTACAGTAGAGTCAGAAAAACGTTATATACAGTGCAGAAATACATACAGTGAAACTCTGTTGAGATATGATCATGGGATTGCGTAGAGATTTTGTGCCGGAGGTGTTTACAGCAGCGCTTGAGGTGAGAATAGCATAAACAACCAATCAGCAGAAGTGTTCCAGCTATACCCCATGCTATCCCCACCTTATCCAGGATCCACTCTGCTTTTCTACAGCAAAGTTTAACATATTTTCTTATTTGATATACAATAATTATTATAGATATATATTTATTTATGTAGGACTCCAAAGTGCGATGGGACTCCAAAGTCCGATGGTCACGCCAAAGTCCGATGGTCTGCGCCAAACCCCGATGGTTTGACACGCCAAAGTCCGATGGTGCAGAAAACAATTAACGTTTATGACGTCATAGTACTACTGCGCAAAAATGCGATATCGCGCCATGCTAAGGCCCGATTATTTAAAATAAATACAAATAAATATAAAATACAAAGACTAACACTAATCTCGCAGCACAGTTAAGGTTACAGTAAGGAGGCGGGGCCTAATTTGTACGGGAAATGTTTACTATGACGTCAGACATAAAATAAGGTCTTCAAAATACCACAAAATGAAATTATTTGCTATTTCAAACAGCTGGATAGCTGTATACTACATACACACTTACTATTACGTGCAGTTTTGTCGTTTGTTAAATCCCACACAACAGTATATAAACGATGCATCGATCGCAATGCACCTGTCAATGTGACGTCATCTCGCAACAATGACGCAGTTTGTACACAGTGAGAGGCTGATCAAGTCACATTTTGTACAATGAAAAATGTGTTTTGTTCTCAAATAAAATATTATTTGCAGTAAAATAAAAAGCCGTTAACGTGGATGCGATGTCTATTCTAGTAATTTATTTATAAACTGTACGTGCATTCTCCCGACAAGCGATACTGTCGTGTGTTTGTATGCAGATTCAATGAAAAAGTAATGGAAGGGCCCAAGTAAACCGATCTATTGCAAGGGCATACCGTCAATGTACCTTTTCAAAATTTTACACATAAACTCAAGAAGCATTAAGATATTTGAAAAGTGCTGCGAACCTCTTGAAATCTTGCAAATGAATTAATTATAGCTATATTTAATGTAGTTGACCAGCAAAATATTCAACCTGCCGTCCAACAAATTAAATTTTACCAATTAAAAAAGGGAATCTTTATAGGTTCGCAGCACTTTTCACAAACTACATATAGTGTTGAAAAGGATTATGAAATAAACTAAGATTTTTAACTTAGTTATGCCCTTGCAATATTGAAATTTATAGATGACCTCTAAACTGCAAGTATAATTGCCAAAGTCATGTGACGTCGACATCAAATTACATTTTTTTTATATCAGTGAATTCCTAAAAAGAATCACCCATCCTAATAAAGTATGTATTTTTTATCTTAAAAAATCGCCGGTATTTCCATTTGTAACCTTCACTGTGCTGCGCTTTTGAATATAGGTGCGAGACTAACTCTTATCAGTCGAAAAATTTATAACAACCGTAAGCTAGGTATCTTGGATGGGTGCATGACTAATCCAAATCAGTCCAATAGTGTGCGAGGACTAACCATAAAATCTCTTTGGTGAGTTCGAATAAACACATTGGTGTCCAAGAACTAACCCAATCAGTCGAATGGTGTACAAGGACTAACCTTAATAGCTCTGATGGGCGAAAACAATAAGCAAAATCAGTAAAATTGTAAGCGGGACAAATACTAAATCAATAGATTTTGAATGCAGGACAAGCCATAACGTCGGACTATTGTGACGTCATAAACGTTGATTGTTCCTTCGCACCATCGGACTTTGGCGTGTCAGACCATCGCATTTTAGCGTCGCGTGTCTCATAGGAAACAAGCCATCGGACTTTGGCTTGACCATCGGACTTTGGGGTCCGTAAAGACAGCGAGCCATCGGGGTTTGGCGCAGGCCATCGGGGTTTGGCGAGACCATCGGACTTTGGCGTCACCATTGCACTTTAGAGTCTTACATATATATATAATATTTTGTAAAATAGAAGCAATTGTGATGATTCCTTTTCCACTTGTCTTAGAAACGTGATCTCCACTGATTATACAATACATGTTTGCTCTTCTCCTATTTTCTATTGTTTTATGGACGTTTGGTCTAGAATACTGTTCGTTATCTCCACATCCTTCATTTATTGTGCAAATATGTAATTTAGTAAAGCAATCAAAAAATTGAAGAACTGTTCAATTATCCTTGTTTTCATAAAAGGGATAATTTGGCAATGCATATAGGCGTAGGCAAATTGAAAAGTAGGGGGTGAAGGGCTAAGCCAACAAAAATATAGACCCTCCTGGTTTCCGACGCCTGTGCTGCAAGATCAAAATCATTATAATCAGACATAAATTTCCACATGCTATTCCAATCCTTTTTTTTTAGTTATACGTGTATACAATACATTTACACTTGAACAAATGTAATTATATCAGACATTTAAGAGTAAGACGAAAGTAATCCCTAAATATGAACCAGAAAAAAAATGGTTGCTATGGAACAATGACTTTCTTTTGCATAAACATGTTTTTTTTCATTATTCTATCTCCAAACATGCATTTATATGCCTTTTCTGTCTTTTTCTGTCCATCATGTATAAGAAGATTTTTTTTTAGAAATTCATCAGTTGATACCGAGGTTTGATATACTTACCCCATTTTACTAACCATTTTCTTTGGGACCGCCTGGTAATGTTTATCTTCAGTCTAATCATGGGGACCTACAGCAAAATAGAGGTATTTGTAGAATAGAGATAAAACGTGTCCTATAAAGGAGTTATTTAAAGAAACAAGCAACGTTCTTTTTTTACACACATTATAAAATTATAGATGCTGCAAATCAAACAAAACACACAAATTGAAATCAATAATAATAAGCAAAAACGGGTCTCCTTAATTTTATCTTTATGTTACTATTATTATATATTATTTTATCAATATTAGATTTGAGCGATGAGGATATGATTAAACGTATGAAGCAAACAAAAATTATGAATGGTATACATGCATACTAAGACAGATCAAACATTTTTTTCAGTATCCTCAATACACTTGTATCCCTGGAGGCCGACACATTATTCTCAAGGTATTGGAAGTTTTTGAGTATGTATATGATTGTGTAAAAATCGATGCTTGAAATAATAAAAATAATATTTCACGTTTAAAACGAACTAGAAAATAAAATAATTCTTAGCCGTACACTTACTTAGAAGTCACAAAAGACAAGAATAACCGTAAAAAATAAAATCCATCCAGTCCAACCATTGATGATATTTATCTTTCAACTTTCGGTCAATGTGTCTTATCTCGCCTTTTTACGACACAGCATTTGTGTACTAAAATTGAATTCTGATACGGTTTTCTGACTGATTCCTACCTAGATTAAGGTAGGATTCTTCTCTGGTTTCTGACTAGATGAAATATTTAAAGTACAGTTGCATATTTGTCTATTAGATTTAGGTGTAAGAGATTTAAAAAGCCACATTTTTCTTTCCTCGTCACAATTGTTCAACTTTGAATAGAAATGGTAAACCGAATTTGAAAACTAAGCAAGGACTATATTTTTGGCGGAATGGTGGCGTGTTGCAACCACTATTGAAATAACGACCACTATTGAAATAATTATATCAATAGTGGTTGAGAGTGCATTTCAATAGCAAACAAAGTTAGTAACCACTATTGAAATACGACCACTATTGAAATAATTATATCAGTAGTGGTTGAGAGTGCATTTCAATGGCAAACATAGTAAGTAGCCACTATTGAAATACGACTACTATTGAAATAATTATATCAATAGTGGTTGAGAGTGCATTTCAATTACAAACATAGATATTAACCACTATTGAAATACGACCACAATTGAAATTATTACTTCAATAATGGGTGAGAGTGCATTTTAATATGATGACCATAGGTTTCAACCACTATTAAAATACGAGCACTATTCAAATAATTATTTAATAGTGGGGAATTGTGCTTTTCAACATGATTACCACAGGTTTCGCCCACTATTGAAATACGACCAGTATTTAAAGAAGAGTTTTACCGCGTAATTTTTAATTTTTAATCCAAAATTTTACAAATATTGGATTTGGGTGAAAAAATATAGATTAATAATTAAAGTTTATAAATCAAAAAGGATGGTTTTAGGGAGGCAAAATTTTTAACATCACTGAAGGTTTACAATTTCTTTATATTCTAGACATTTATTATTTGCATCTTTTTCAGTGAAATCAGACCAAAAATATATACCAATCCAAGCATCCATATTTTGTTTGTATCATCTGTCCTTTAAAGAAGGTTAAGATAGTTATTGAAATCATAATTTCAAAAGTGATTTGAATAATTATTTTGAAAGTTGATGATAATATTTCAAAACTAAATTAGATTAGAAGTGAACATTATTTCAATAGTGGTTGCAACCTATGTTTGTTATTGAAATGAATATCACCCACTATTGAAATAATTATTTCAATAATGGTCGTAATTCAATAGTGCTTATTACCTATGGATGTTATTGAAATACACTCTCAACCACTATTGATGCAATTATTTCAATAGTGGTTGTTTATCAATAGTGGTTACTAACTTTGTATGCTATTGAAATGCACTCTCAACCACTATTGATATAATTATTTCAATAGTGGTCGTATTTCAATAGTGGTTGCAACAGTGGCGTATGAAAATATCTTCTTTTCTGCCTCCAAAAATGAATTTAGATATAATTTTTACTCAGTCAAATACATGAAGAACTTTTCAAGAACTGCTCACTCTTCCATGGCACCTGATCCCACCTCTGATGTTTCGGAGGTCCGTGTTTGCTCTGCTCTTATTTTTTATATTGTTTAATGGACGTTGAGATTGAATACTGTTCGCTATTTCCATATCCTTCTTTCTTTACCATATGTGAAAAAAGAATAATTTAAATATGGGAAGCATATAATAATATCTAATATATCATAAAAATGTAAGAAAAAGGAGAGGAAATTCGGTTGATCAATATCCATTTTAGTTTAATTATTTATGTCATTTTGGTAATATCATCTTATAGGTCCTGGCCCTTTATGGTAGTTTATTTTTAGGCAAAAAGAAAAACATTCCATTCAATTATTTGTAATACAAGTAGGGATAGCATAATTTGCAACTGTATTTTTTATTATTAACAAAGAAATTAGATTTACGGGGGAATTTTTTTGTGGTGGAATGATGATAAGAAGAAGAATCTTTCAAATCTATACATGTGTTACATTAATTAAATCTGTTGGACTTACAGCTCCACATATTTTTATTCAGAGAATATTTTCCGTTTTAAGTGCTAGGAATATATATAGGTTTCAATAAATATTTTAACATTTGCACATTCACGCAAAGACTTTGCCAAGAAATGAAAATATTTTTAAGAACTCAAGATAAAATTCAAATTTTTTTATTGCCAGAAAATCGCATATATTGACCAATATCTCAAAATTCACATTGCTTAACTTAGCCTTTTCTTTCATTATCATTCTACGTTTCATCATACATCAAACAGATCAGAGATAAAGTCATAAAACGTTTGACACAAAAAACCCCACATTATTCTCTATTTAGATTTTTGATATCCCAAATATAATACTTTTTGATGCAAAAAGGTCACACAATAATTCATGCACAATAATTTGCACTATTTGTTCGATGATACATATTATTCAAACATTTTTTATAAACATTTCCATTATTACATCTGATAAAATGATTAAGATTAAAGTGATTGGAAATGTCATGTTATTTATACCATTGCTCAGTATCTAGCCCCGCAAAAATGGTAAAATAGTGCATGTACTGTTATAAATATTATTTTACAAGGGGATTGATAACATCCAGAACATCATAAGTTCAAGGGGAGTATATAGAAAATACAAAAATTCAAATTTGTTCAAATCAATGTTCTGACGATATCGTATTCATATCGTCTACAAATGTACATTGATTTTTTTTCTGCATAGTCAACTTGGCATTGTAATCTTTATTGATATGATATTGAGAACATCTTTTATTTTGAATTCATATATATTTCAACATTCAGAGTACATTCATTTGAAACATAATTACTTATCAGACTGAATTAAAGTAAGAACCGCAAGAAAAATATATATATGACCTACTCATATTTTCTATACTAAGGTATCATGTACATCAATTAGTTTAAGGTCAAATCATGAACCTGTTTTTATTACAAAAGTAAGGTATACCAATACACGGTGCACTATACATGTATTTATAAAAAGAAAGAGGCAAAATCGACACGATGTCGACTCGATATCGACTAACATTGCGATGTCGACGAAGTGAACGATGTAAACAAAATAAAAAAAAAGAGACAATAATGCCCGGATGTCAATTTTGTATCGACCATCATTACCATATGTATGATGTAAACGATGCAAACAAGAATATAAGAAGGCAATGTTGACACGATGTCGACTTGATATCGACAAACATTACAATTTCGACAATGTGAACGATGTGAACAAGAAAAATGAAAAGGCATTGTTGAGACAATTTCAACGATTTGAACGATGTGAACAACATAGAAAAAAAGAGATCATGTTTACACGAATTCAACTCGAAATCGACCAGCATTGTAATGTCGACAATGTGGACGATATGAATCCAAAAAGTAGAAGGCAAGTTGACACAAAGTCGACTCAATATTGGCTTACATTCTCAATATTGGCCTACATTGCAATATCAACGATGTTAAGGATGAAAATAAGAAAAAAAGGAAGGCAATATAAACACGGTATCACCTCCAATTCGACCAGCATTACAATGTCAAC